TCATCCTCATCCTCATCCTCATCCTCATCCTCATCCTCATCCTCATCCTCATCCTCATCCTCATCCTCATCATCCGCTAGGCCTGGTAATGGGATATATTATTGGGTTTGTCCCATCACCTGCAACAATCGGCACAATTCTCACTATTTTGGAGCAGGGCCTTTACTAACCATCATCATCCGTTACTCACAATGGGATACCCAAGGTATACTATATACCCCTTTTCCCGTGATCAAAGAGTTACACACGCCCCCCCGGGCGCAGTTCGCTGGCGCAAGCTGGCACAACTCGTCGGATCCCCGTCAGGCGGCCGAGCATTGGCCTCCATTTGGTCCAACAGCGCTCCGGTGCCTGCACAGTGCCACCGGGCCTTTCAAATCGGAAAAGCACGGCCGTCGCCAAATCGCACAAAGCCAAGGGACGGCTCCCAAGCCAACTGAACGTGTCGAGGGTGATGCGTTTCAAAGGATGCTGCGAGGGAGGCTTTTTGACTTCTTGAATAGCTGTGGAGCTAGCCCCACATTGAACACAACGTCTACGCAATAGGGGTCGCCCAAGGAATTTGGACAGATAGACATCCACTGACTCCTTTGTTTGTTACACTTGGCCCTCAGACCTCCTGGACGTCGGGGCCATGGAAATTCACAGGGAATGGCATGCCTGGTGTTTCGTTTTTGTTTTTCTGCGAGGCGTTGTTAGTCTAAGGCATGGTGACTCACAACTGGTCCAACCTTTTCCTTCATTTGGTGGCGGCCATTTTGGCAGATGCTTTGGGGAAGGACTACTACCATGGTATTGCGGAGAAGCTCCTGACCAAGCGTGGCACGGGTGAATTGGAAGCTGCAATTCAAATTGAGGACTGGCTGAGGTGAAACTGCAGCACCCTCACTGGCCAATGGGTGCAATATTATCCACCTTGATGGCTTAGAACGACACCATCACATGCACAACATATCCACATCCACAAACTTTGCACACAACCCAATGCCACACATGCAGCGACATATTATATATATATAGTTTTATATATAACATAGTTTGCTTGTTTTTCATGTGGGCTCTGATGGCACCAGTGTCTTTCGGGCAACCAGTTCCTATATACTGTAATAATGGGTGTTTGAATGTTTTTGACATATTTGACCTCAAGGACCCTCCATCTCCTCCCTAAACTTTCTTTCGGACAAGCTCCCAAGATCTTAATATCTGAAAGGCCAAATGACCAAGTGAGACACAGGACAGGAGTGTAGATTGTGATCATTTTGTTCATGCCCTGCGAGGGGGCGTGGTCCTTGACCTACTGGGTTTGCGCCTTCTCCATCAACCAGCATGCTTGCATTTGCGATAACTATGGCAGTCCTCCTCCAGTAGACCCAGACCAGTTCAGCCAGTGGGCCGCCCGCCACAGCGACACTGTGACTGGGAAGCTCTACCCCCTTTGTCAGCATCTTGCCGTTGCAAAAGTTCCCCATTTTGAAGAGATTTTTCATCCTTAAAGCTCCTCAACAAAGGCGTTTCTTGCGGGAAAAAGAGCTTTTTGCGAAACCGCGACACGCTCCGATCTCCTCTTCTCACGATTCCGCTACATGCGTCTTCCAGGTGTGGACAACGGAAGGTCTCTGCCGGGGAGCCTAACACCTGCGAGGTGAATAAGTTCCATTGGATGATGCGACACTCGGTTTTTGGTCGTACGGGGAGGTTCGGCTTCGGTGCACTACTTCTTTTTCTCCGGTGTTCAGATCTAATATAGCAGCTATTGGCAGGTGAGAGCATTTGTATAGCAGCCATTAGCAGGTGCAGCTGAATTGCATCTGATAGATCCAGCGAGATATCCGATAGAGATCTTCAGACGACCGCCATCCGACCAGCCCAAATACCATCCGACCGTCCGACCCATCGTCCTTCTCCAAGGACATTTGGCCAAAGTGCAGGACGGCTTCTCACACCTGGTGGTGGCAGATGTCAAGTTCGAAGTCTTCACTCGCGCGTGGTGTATTGCCGAAATCGTGGAGTCAGAGGCGTCTACGATTCCGAAGAGGAGCAAATTCATGGAAGATGAGCATTAAAACTATGATCTGATGTAGAGTAGAGACTTGACATGGATGAATTGAACCTCCGCATTTGGATTGAACAGCCTCTTCATTTGGCAGGGGGGCTTGATTTATTGATCAAGAGTCTACATTTAAGATAATGTCAAAACATGTCAAAAACTAAGTGGATGTCGATTCGTTTGCTCTCCAAGCTCTCTCACCTTCTGATTGTGGAGGATCAAGGTCCACTCGGAGAACGCCCTTGACCACAACTACTACTCGCTGGCTTGCATAGATGTTCGCGACTGCCAGGCATCACGACAAGAGGAGCCACCAGATCGAAGATTTGAACCAGCTGCCATAGGCAATTGACCACCCATAGTGCAATCTCCACAAAGGGTGCTGGGTTTGTGCACATATTGCACAAGTTGGCACGGAACACAACAACATACTTTGCCCTTCGTAGTGCCTCTTCCACAAGCTATACGTTGTCATTACTATGTGGAATGGAGGGAAGTTCCACCGGCCCGCAGGACAGAGATATGATCCTGTCACACATTTCGGACGTGGAGGCTTTTAATTTGCAACTACAGCTTGCAATTTTTGGTACAGAAGGGTGCCTTGGAGATCGTGACCTGGGGAGCTGGTTCGCTCACTCACACGGCTTCAGTCCGGACTGCGAGACCCACACGCCAGACGTAAGTCAACGATGTACTCGTACGTGGCTTCGAAAGGAAGGTCGGTCGGCCACCGTTTGGATCGAACCGACGAGCCCGTGTCCAACACGAGCCACGTCCATGGGATGACCCCCCGTTCACCCCCTGTTCAGCTCTGTTCCGTAAAAAATGGCCCAATCCGCACGCCCAGTTGAGCATGTTTACATCAACAGCCAGTTTTTCGGACATCGGGAAGGCAATCCGCACGTGTGTTGTGCGGCATCGAACCGAGGTTGCTGAGCGATTGGGTGGACGGTCCTAGCCGTACTGCCCTAGTTGCCAGATGCTGGGAGAGAATTGGTTATGATATGGCACAACCAGGGGTCACAAAGGGGTGGCTTAGTCCCATCCAGTGAGTGGAGTAGCTGGGCACCCCTATCCTCCAATAGGCACCCCTTTGTGACTCATGGAATCGGAATATGCATAAATATACACGGAAAAGACGCAAAGACGCACGACTCAGGTTGTTCCAGCGACTCCACCCCGGTCCGGGACTGCGCGTGTGTCGCCATGAAGGAACCGGTTTTGCGATTCCGACTCCCCTTGATTCCTGGTGTCATGGTGTCATGAATTCGGTTCCCTGTTCCATTTGGCTGGGATGATGGAAGCCATTGCAAGTATTTTGGCACAAGGACCGATGACCTTGATAAGTTCAGTCATGTGTGTTTGGGTGGCTTCACTGGTCTATGAAACTTTGGGTGGCCCTGTGGTTCTGTGGAATGTTGCCCGAGTTGTTTTTCGTTTTTGGAGGCCATCGCTAGTAGGTTGGTGGGCCATCCCTACTTAGCTTGGAGGCCGTTCCTATGAGGTCTCTCCTCCAAAGCGTGAAACAAAAACATGCCTATTATTAGTGACGTTTTCCATCGTTTTCCAATGTCTTCCCTAAACATCTAGGAGCCAAATGAATCAGTGCAACTTATTGCCCCAAAATCGCCCCTGTTTTCACACACCAGGGAGGGCAGGTGATCCAGTGGTGGTTTGGACTCCCTGGACGTGCAGAACTCAGGAGGTGGGGGGAGATCCAACATGGAGTCAGACAATCCAAAAGGAATCCAACCCAGAGTGAACCCGACTGAACCCAAATCATGATATATGAGCTACGGTCCATATTTTCGTTGATCGTCCCTCATATGATTTCGATTTCGTGGAGGCGCGTGTTTTTCACCTTCGCTGTGTTTGTGCGAGGAGCACCCAATTTGGATCCTTAGGTGATTTTGTGCCTCCACACTTCCGTGCCACACTGCCAAGGAATTCTGAGAAGAATTGATGGGTGCACGGATTGTATTGTTTAGGCAGGAATTTACGCTGATATGTCTCAAAATAGGGGGTCCTATGCTTGGCCTGTGCATGCAGAGCCATGATTTAGGGGGTCCCCTAGTTTGCGGCGCAAACGTGGAACGCCATGCTATCAAGGACGACAAAGCATCTCAAGTTCCAAGCTGTTTCAATTGCTTTGTGTGTGTTCACATCCCTTTTGTTTAGCCACGTTTGAATCCGCGTACTCAATCTGTAAAGATGCATGTCATGCTTGCCACCTGGCAAGTGAGACTTGTTGTCTCCATGAACCGCTGATTGTTTGGTCAAATCTTTCAAGTTGGCCGGCGGAAACCCTTTGCTCATACAGAAGCCCCAAGAACCTTATGCCAACCAGTTTTGCAAGATAAGATTGATCACACAATATTGTGGGCTTCACCTGGAGGAAATGGGAAAACCTCGTGAGGCGCAGACAGTATTTGGATTTTGCAACTTGCTTTCTTATTAGAAGCCGGTACAAACAATTTCCGCTGCAACGCTGCGGAGGGTATACTGGTCACGCATGGTCACGCATGGTCGTTTTCTATCTCTAAGATAGATAGAAAAGAATTCCAATAGCATAAGGACAGGGGAACTCCGTACGTGGCCATTAGGAAAACAACGACTTTCCGGTGTCGTCCGGCCGCATGATAAACATCGTAGTGTGCAGCACTGGGGCTTCCACGGAATCTGTGAGGATTCAGTGACAAAGGTTTCAGCCGTGTGCCATGGTCGTAAGCTGGGGAAAGCCTGAACGAGCTACGGCCGCTGGTAAAGGGCCCAACAAGATGGTCAGCTTTTGGAACGCTGGTGGCGCAAGAAAAGAGAAGGATCATGACGGATTCCTCAATCTCTGAAGGGCCTGTGTGACCTGAACGTGGTGAAATCCGATGCTTCGCGCAAACATTCCGACATTCCGGTGAGCATGTAGGTGTCATCACGGCAAGCTACCTTTGTTTTCTATAAAGCTTCCACTCGTCCGAGACTCGTCCGAGACTCGTGAGTTTGGGTCGGACGAGTGCTCAGCGCCATGCGAGCGAATCGGGATTCATGCGGGGCTGCGGCGTAGTTGCATTTTGTAGGTGTGCAGAGGCATTTTGGCAGGTGTGCAACCAGCTGTGGCCCATCCCAAAGGCAGCTGTGGCCTACCAGAGCGGGCCTGCACTTTGAGTTGTTGATGTGAAGTTCCGGTTGAACCGACATGTGACTTGTTAGAATTATATATGTATTTTTTTATTGTCATCTAAATCAACATGTCCGACTCTCTTTTCCATGTCTGGTGCGGTCAATGAAAGCACGAGGTTCACATGTTGCCAAGCCAGACATGGAATCCACGCCGACGTTTGCAAGGACATGCCCAACACGTGGTACTGAGTCACGGGGTTTGCACCGCCGGCGCCTCCCCCAAAAAGATCCAAACAGAACATCACCAGGGCTTGGACTTCGGACCACATTCAACTCGTGAAAAAGAAGCTCTCAACAAGGCTCAACTCATGGTGGTCATCGAGGGGAAGCAGAAAGAAGCCGCACAAACCGAGGAGGTGGTTTCCAAGGACTGCAGCCGGAAGCAGTTTCCTGAAAGAACATGGCATGCCGCGCCTTTTGTTCTTTCCCTGGTGTTTTGCCATGGCTTGGGGTGACGGTCTACCACACTGGCTGTTTTCCCTAGTTCGGACTCCGCGCATGTTCGCAGGATGCCGCAGAGACGGCCAAGGTGGCCGAGAATGCCAACAACATGAAGATGGATTGCCAGTCGGGGCCTCCATGGTGGAAGCATCTGCGGATGCCGGAAGCCTTTCTTTCCTCGGATGCGCTGCGCACGTCCACATGTGTGTCCACCAGCCCGATGTTTGATGGTCAACATGTACACTCCGGACACGTCGAGATGTGTTGAGCGTGCAGTCCCAACTGCCCGAGCATCCGGAACCCCCGAAATCCGATTCCAACAGCTCTCCGCAGAAAGTCCTTGGAGCCTTCAAAACTCCATCCCAAAGAGGGTCTCAGAACGTCTTCTAGAAGTTGTGCCGGTCTCATCCACAAAAAGGGGAGCGATCGGCGTGTCCATGACCTGTCCACGAGGCGAGACTTGGACAAAGCCATGCCAGCTTTGAACTCCGCCATCGAGGTGTGGGATGGATCCAGTTCAGTCAGCGGTCCAGCTCAGGGGATGGATCCAGCCCTCTCGAGGGGATTGGACACAGACCCCATCAGTCATCATGGCAGCCATGTCACCAACCCCATCGGCCCATCAGCTGAAGCGGCTTGGAACACCTCACCATTCCCCTGGGTCACCCTGTGAGGCCTTAAGTCAGCTCTCCAAGGGCGATATCGTGGAGGTGAAGGCCATGGGCAAGCCACCAGGAGGCCGAATCCTCACCGGGGAGCAAGCTGGGTAAATCAGGCCAAGGCACTTAGAAATGTCCTATAGAATCGATTAGTTTAAACAATTTAAGGTTGTTTGCTTGGGTGCCTTGGATGGAGCTGAATTTAAGGTTGTTTGTTTTGGTGACTTGGATGGAGCTGAATTTAAGGTTGTTTGTTTTGGTGACTTGGATGGAGCAGCTGTTGGTCGCTGCGGTGCCCTCACGGATATTTGGGTCACTAGGCTTCCCTCCAAAGATTGGGCAACAACGGGGGAGCAAGAAAGAACGGTGTTGCCAGCCTTAGGTAGGTTCAAGCGTGCATGTTTTCCATTGTCCTGACATGTGTTGAGCATGGAGGATGGATGAGAGTGACTGTATCAAAAACAGACTTGTTCCCTGTTCCAAGTCTACACAGCAGCTGCAGGAGCCGACGTTGTAGATATGTTGTAGGTTTATGTTGATCCGAGATCCAACATTACATCAGTAGCATTTTTCTCACGTGACAGGCGTGGTCTTGGTCTCCAAAGCGCTTTGCTGGTGTTTCGGCATCAAGCCCAAGAAGGCCTTGTCACGCGCGCGCTTCTCCGCACGTTCTCCGCACCCGCGCGGAGCGGCGTTCGCGACGGTCGCGGCAACGCCATGCAGGTGCCAGCGCCGGATGGACGGTCCAAGGTGGATGACTATTGGGATCCCGCCAAGAAGGCGGGTTGATGCGCCCGGGGGGGCGAAAAGACGTCTCTTTCGGCCAAGAAGGGAGGTGAAGCGATGCAAGCCATGGACGTGGCTGAAAAAGATGGGCTATATTAGTGACTCGGTGCGTTGGGAGGCTTTTCCAAATGCAGCCATGACATGACGCATGGACGCATGGACCCCAAAGCAGGGAGCTTTTGATGGGTATATATACTCAAGTACATGTTCTCTCGGCTGAACGTTGCAGGAGTTGTGGGGAGATCCCAAGCTTTTGGACCGGCTCTTGAACTTCGACAAGGACAACATCCCGACTGACGTGGCGTGGCAAGATGATGCTCGATGGTTAGTGCCGAAACCATCCGAAACCAATGGTTTGCATCAATTAATCTTCAGATCCTTCACAGATTCCTTTGGATCCATTCCCTCATTCCCTACTAAGCACCAGTCAGTCACAGAAGCACGTGTCTCCAACAGATCCCCTTTTCGCTGAGTGGGTGGCCGAGTGAACATCGGCACGCATGATGGCCCAATGTTTCGAGCCTTTTCAGAACATGCTTTGCCAAGAAGATTCAGCAAGACAGACGTCACTGGGATTGGCTGCACCAAGGTGATGACCAAACTGTTGCCATTGGAAACCGATCCGAATCTCACTCGCAATTGGAAAGCGCCTGGAAAAAAGGTATGTTTGGCATTATGTTTGGCGAGAATGGACGATGAACATGTCCTCTGCTCGGTGGGCGAACATGTTTTCGATCTCCATATCGTGTGGTGTCGTCATTTGCCGCCCCCGTTTTTCGTACAGGAGTGCATGCCAACTTCCAACACACTGAGAGGCTAAGGCGATCTCATCCTCAACAAAGCAGAAAAGGGCCAAAGCCAACAGGATCCAACAGGGAGTTCTCAGTGTGATGTTTTGCATTGACGGATAACAATCACATGTTGGGCATTTTTGGTGCACCCCCAGACATGACGCAAACAAAAACGTCACAGGAACCATGGGGGGAATGTGGATGTGCGGACCTGAAGTGGTGACCCTCCGAGGGACTTCGAGCCCGATGCAATCAAGAAGGCCAGCAGTTTGGAGATGTTCCTTACATCATGAGTCATGTAGGATCATGTGGCCCAGGCTTGAAGGAGTCTAGAGTCTATGAGTCTATGAGCGGTTGACCTATTCTTTTCAGCCCTTTTTCCCTCCAACTGTTTTGACCTGATCAACTTCCAAAGTCCCACAGGCCTCCGTGGCGGCTTGTGGCATTTGCAAATGGGCACTGGGCCCAGTTGGCCATGACGGCGGGTCGCCGCTTGAGCATTTGTCAGATTCGCAGGAAGACACGCAAGAGACCCAAACGTCCGGCTCCAGGTGCGTGCTATGATTGTTTATGACCAGGCTGGGGTGGAGGGCTGCATGCATCACCGGGGGAGGGAGTCAATGTTTCTGTGAGATATGCCCTGGGGCATTCGGTCAAGTCCTTGAAAGACCTGTGGTCCAGTGGTTTTCAAACAGTGCTCATGTTGGTCCGCAGGCATTTGCACGTTTCGGACTTCATTTTATCCCTTAAAGCCTCGAAGACCTCCATGCTTCCCTCAGACTTACTCCTTACTCAGTTCCTTACTCCTCAACTGAACAAGAACAGCTGATGGGTCAGCACGCCCACGGCGCCTTTGAAGGCGAGCACTTGCCGCAGATTTCATCAGACAGATCAGAGTCCGGTCACATGCGCTTATGCGCTTATCGTCCAAGTCTGAAAAACAAATAATGTTTCCTCATCACATGCATTGCATCAAGCGATCATCCACGATCATTCTCCTCCTTGCGTTCTGTACGACGAGTCGACACGATCCAGAACTCGACGAGGTGGCCAAGATGGTCGGCCCAAAGAAGGCGGCCTTGGCTGTGGCGGAAGGCGAATTGAAAGCCGCCGAGGATGCCTTGGCCATCAAGAAGGCCAGGCGTCATGAACTGGGGAACGCTCTTTTTCCGCCTGGGTGGCAAGGACGTCCAGGCATGCTGGACCGTGCAGGTGTTTGGTCTTTCGTTGGATGAGTGAATGGCTAATCCCGTTATGGCTCTGTTGGGGTGGTCGCGCCTGTAGAGACGACATGCCCTTCCATTGGTACGGACACATTTAAAACAGCATCCAGAAGTCTGTACTAACGGAATGCTAACGGTATGTGTGTTATGTGTGGTGAATTAACATGGCTGCCCAATTTATAGATCTTTGGATTGTTTACCTGAAAATTGGTCTTTCAGCGTTCTCCATTTGCCAAGGCCGAGCTGCAAGCCGTGCAGGAGTCCGCTCTTGTGGAAACCGGGGGCAAGGAAGACATGGTTTCAACATGTCACTGTCCCCAGGTTTCGACCGGACAAATTCGACAAAAAGAGGACTTCCCCTTGGTTCGTTCGCATGTCTCTTTTCCGCGCTCCTTGGGCAGTGAAAGCTCCGGAGATGGGGACCTGGGAGGTTTCAAGGAAAGCGAACATGGGTTCTCCCTCCCTCACCAGAGCTTGCCAGAGCTAGGCGAAGATCTGATGGGCTCAGTGGGGGGGCTTGGGAATCAATGCAGATCCGGCCTGGCTTCAGAAGGTCTTGGCTTTCTCGTTGCTTGCGAGGACAACGTGGCCAAGTTGCTGGAAGAGTTCGCCACGGCCAAGCAGAAGAAGGACGACTTGCAGCAGCAGTTTGAGGCTGCCCGCACTGTGCTCACTTTTACGATTTACATCACGGGATTGTTGAGATGAATGTTCCTGGAGGGACGTCCGGGGAGAAAAATACACCCGGGGAAGCTATACTGCCCAAGGCCCAGACTCATGACGATTTGTTGCTGACAGGTCTGCACCAAGCGCTTAGTCACGGCCGAGAAGTTGATCAACGGCCTTGGTGGCTCGCTGACAGTCAGCAATGTGTTTCTTTTTTTCTGATGATGTGAGTATTTGAATGTGTTTGATGTGTCTTTTTGGGGGGTTGCAGCTGTTTGGCAAGGCCATGTGCTTTCACTGGGCGTTTTTGATGTTCAAGAGTTCAGTCCTCCAATTTTGGCAGAGATTCCAGTCTCGTTCAATTCACCTCACCTGGAGACCAAGCGACAAGGTGACTTGAACCAATCTTGAACCCTCCGCGCTTCCGCAAAACAATCAATGAAGCACCCAGGCAACCCTTCCATTTAGGCTTTGGAATGAGCGTAGTCTTGTTTTCATGTGTTTTCCTGTTTTCCTCTAGCTGCTGGGCCTTTGACTTTACAGTGAACATCAGCAGCAAGCCAAGTTGTTTATGCTGTCGGCTTCGTTATCGGCCCACGTTTTGGGCTATTTCTGCTTCCATTCATCCATTTCATGATGTGATTTGTCATCTTCGGTTTCACAACATTGTCATCGGTTTCACAACATTGTCATCGATGAGTCGCGTGATTAAAAATGGGTGGTGTGGGGTGGGGTGGGGTGGGGTGGGGATTGTGATGGAATGAGGATTTTCGGTTTCACAACATTGTCATCGGTTTCACAACATTGTCATCGATGAGTCGTGTGATTAAAAATGGGTGGGGTGGGGGGTGGTTGTGATGGAATGAGCACCTTCGGTTTCACAACATTGTCTTCGGTTTCACAGCATTGTCACCGATGTATGGATGTTGTATGATGTTGTAATCGATGAGTCGTGTGATGAAAAATGGGTGGGGGGGTTGTGGTTGAATGAGGACGTGGATGCCACGCTGAGAACAACATTGTCATTGATTTCACGGTATGTAATCTTCGGTTTCACGACATTTTCATCGGTTTCACAACATCACAACATTGTCATCGGTTTTATGATATGTTGCATCGATGCGTTTTGGGCCATGCTCAAACGAGCTGTGCCAAGTTCCTTGGGTTCGGTGAAGAAAGGTAAGCGCAACCCAGCCCTGTGGGGGTATTGTCGATCCTTTCAGTGGAGATGGGAGATCGGAACCCAAAAGATACTGACGCATACCGCGCAGCAGCTGCGCTTGCTCAATTTGTTTCTCGCTGCGTGCAATGCTCGAAATGAACCAAAACGTGGGCCGGTGACGAACCCGGCGGGTTGTTCATGGTGGGCCAAATGACCTCTTCGGGAACATCCCTGGACGGTCACCAATGAAAAACCAAATCAGCAAATCAATTCCATTCTCTTCCGTATGATTCTCTAACCTCGTTCCAGCAGTTGCCTCCAACCTACTAGCAATGGCCCCCAACCCAATACAGTAGATCTTATTAGCACATTTGCTGGAACATGCCCTCTGGCTCGGGTGCCATTCTCTTTTCGTTTCCCCCCGTTCCGTGGCAACGATGGACGTCCACTTCATCGGCCGGAGGCACACTCGTCGCGATGGCTTTCGTTCTCCTCGCCCGGTGGCACCAGGTGGCGAGAAGTCTCGATGGCAAGCCTCATCGGCGAATCTTGGAGTCCAGTGCCTGGGCCTTTTTTCCCGAACACTGCGAGGTTTTGGGGAGGAAGACTGGCCACTATAGTAGCCCTAATGGTGAACAGGACCAACGCTTATTTTTTGCTAAAAATGTCACTGATTTATGGTTACTTTGTACACTTTGTGAGGATTTTCCGTGGTTGGTCACCTGGGCTTTGAGTGTTTGCCAGTCCAGTCTTCATCTTTTCACTCCTTCTCACTATCTTTTTCATGACGGGCTGAGCATGGCGGCTCGCCGAGGTACAACAACCTCACCGGTGATGTGCTGATCTCCTCGGGAATTATCGCGTATTTGGGCTGCTTCCTGGCGAAGTACCGCCACGAGTCGGTTGATTCCTGGATCTCCTTGATGCAGGTGACGTGTGGTCCACGCCGTGTGTCCGCGCGCGGGTGTGCATCGTGCGTGGAATGTGGCTGGGATGAGGGGCGTGCAGCGCTGCGTTGGATGGAAACGAGGCAGACCGATGGAGAAAAACCAACATGATGGGTCTGATGGGTAAATGTTTGTGTCAAACTGATTGCTGCATAGGACGGTCCGTTGTCCGCCAATGTCCGCCATGTTCTGTGCATGTTTGGAACCACAAGTCCACAAGTGCATCCTTTTCTGCTGTCCTGGAGAGACACGGCGGTCCACTCGTAGAACGACTCCAGTATCATGCCAACGGTGGAAGAACAGAGACCACCTTGAATGCCACAAACACAGCCTCCCAACAGCAGCACCACTGGGACTGGGAACCTTTTCCTCCCCAAAAGCATCCCAAAGTCCACGTTTGCCTGAGAGCATTCCCTGTAACATCCTGCAACTATAATATGAAGACAGTACATCCATGCATCCATGCACCAGACACGAGCTCCCACCAGACAGAGGACTCTTCCTGAAACATGAGGTGGTAAGGAAAAGGATGTCATGTTTCATCAATTTAACATCATTTAACTCACCGGGCTTGGCTTGGCTGAAAACGCGGCCTCATCGGGCACTCTCCCTCCACAGGAGAACAAGGTGCCCTCTTCATCCACCTTCTTGCTGCGCTCGGTGATTGGAGAGGATGTGGCGCTTGGGCGCAGAGGGCGGAGGGCGGAGCGCCCTGTGCCAGGGTGGGCCATAGGGGGTGGAAGTAATATGTTGGACCTTCCAAATCATCCAGGGAAGGTGGGGGGTCATGTTGGTGTCAACATGATGGTGAAGATGAGCCGAGTTAAAAACATAGGAACGGCCTGCGGTGGCCTGCGCCATCGCTTTGGGGCTTCCTGGGTTCCTCTTGCAAGATCTGCTGACCGACCGACTCTTGTTATTGAACGTGGATGTTGGACGGGGACGACGCCGATCTCTGGTCGGATTGGTGCCATCGATGGTGCGAGGTCAAAGGCACAGAGAGGCCAAGACGTATTGAGTGTGGATTCCACTTAAGACCCCCCCCCTGTGACCTGTGCTCTTCCGGGGTTACCATTGAATTGCACAGATTCTTGTGATAGTGAGATTTTCACATGCGTTTATGATGTTTAAGTTTAAGATCTGGAGGTGCCAGTGCCACAGGAAAACCGGCACTGTCCAATCCATTCGATCTTCTACTATAACAGACTGTAACCAAATTTGTAGCCGGTTTCGTGGCCAGGGGTATCGAGCCCTCCCACTTGATGACAAGAACCAACAAACATGTACGAACATGTAAACACTCGATGCGATACAATCAATTGATCGTTGGGACCATCGTTCTCGTGCCATCAGTGCTACCAGGCTGCTACCATTTGATTGTTTTGATTTGAGGGATCAGAGTGAACCTACAGTCTTTCACCAACGAAGTGGATGGATCAAACGGGTCCAGTCGACAAGACCTGACGGTTTTCCTGACTCCTTTCAGCAACAAGAACCGAGGGGGCGAAGATGGTGGACGAAAAGAACCGAAAAATGCACAGCAAGATATATAGCAAGTTCGAACTTCCTTCGCCATTTGAAGAAGGAAGGTTCCACCAAACTCGTGTAGCCTCCGTTTCTCCCTCGGGTCGTCTCGACAGCCTTTTGGCGGTTGGGAGGTTTGTTACACTCAGGCCATCCGTCAATGGGTCATCGACAAGTTGCCCAACGACCAGGCTCCGGCAAGAACCAACTTCGCATGAGAACAGGTTGACAATGCTCCACAACCCTGTGAATGTAAAGACTTGCCAGGCAAATCCAGGCAACCCCAAAATCTTGGATCCGGGGACGGTTTTATTCAAGCCGCGGGGAGGCTCGGCACAACAACCTCCCAATGATATAGTAGGCAGGAAAATGAACTCGCCAAACTCAAATATTCATTTCCTTTCTGCAATGAGCTCCAGGCTGACAGACCCTTTCTGAGCAATACCACTTGTTCCAGAGGCACCCGCCCCAGCATGCCGTTTTTCGGCGCCAGGTCTCCATTGACAACGCACTGATTTTGTCCAATTCCCAACGTTGGCCCTTGATGATTGATCCACAGCTCCAGGTCGGGACTCGACAGTCGGACGTTGGTCTCACATGGGGCCCGATGTGAAGAGGCGTAGATGTGGAGGAGGCTGTTAGGAGATGCAGCGATCTGATCATGTTCTGATTGGCAAAGAGGACTGGCAGTGAACATCAGTGAATTCATGTGAACTCTGAGGATGATTGGTAAATGCTGGGGGGGGTATGACATGTTGTGACGTCCTCAGACCCGCGCAATCCTCCGGATCTCCCTCCTCAGACCTGGTGGCCGACCTCGCAGGCGAACACGTGGATTCGCAAATCCAAGGGCGACAAGCTTTTGGTGCTACGTCTTTCACAGACGCCCGGAGCAGTGTGTAATGCTGTAGCGAAAGTGACAGCGACACACAAGGCGGCCAATGATGAACCGCACCCAGAGTCTAGAGACCTTAAACCCTATACAGATCAAAGACCTCACTTTACTGGAGTCGATCATGCCACCACTCAATGATGTTTTTGAGACCAGGTTTGGACCTGGGTCAGACTGGACCATCTAGGAATCTAGGGAAATATGTTTCTGTGACTCCTGTGGGCCAAGGAACAACTACGCGCGGAAGCTGGAGGTCGGCATCTCTCAGGGTCTGCCCGTTCTTATCGAGAACGTTCCAGAGGTGGGCCATGCTGAGTGGTGTGTGGTCTTTGGAGTGGGTTGCGGTTGAGCAGAATTCTGGAAAGAGCTGAAGAATTTGCGCTTGGATATGTGCCTCTGGCCGATTCATGAGCATGAAGGCTCATGGTGCCAAAGAGGTCTGATGCAAGTGTCACTCACACGAGTTTGACAGAGGATGGACACCCTTTTTAAGGCATGGAGTCGTGCCATTCTTTTTCAGGCCTTGGATCCGCTCTTGGAGCCATTGCTCCAAAAGGCCAAGTTCAAAGCTGGCAACATGATCATGATCCTCGGCTATGCCCACGGAGACCCATAGGAAAAAAGGGTGTTGCTGTGTGTGTGTGTGTGTGTTGGTGTTGTGTGCCGTTTGCTCACAGCCTTGCTGGGCCCCCCTTCCTTTTTGAGTGCTAAACTCCAATGAAAAAATACCAACTAGCAGCTAGCGTCCCAAGAAAATGGCTCGTTATTGAGAAATGAGGTTGCTTGCTGCCGTGGCGAGCATAGGGAGTAGCAACAGGTGTAGATGGGCCGTTTCGAAGCGTATGCAGCTTCAAAGGCTAGACAAGCTGGCAAATTGACGAAGGACCCCTTGAAAGGCTCAATCACGATAGTTACGTATATTAGTTTGGGGAGATTGTGGACCAAATGGGTGAGGGAAACCTTGCCGTAACTTACTTAGAGAATCCGTAGATACGAACACAGAGTCACATTCCCGCTCGACATGTCGAACAAAACCGTCGGTGTGAACCACAAGGAGTGTTCTTCCGGACTGAGGATCCGCTTGGGCGATTCGACAGTGGAGTACAACGAGGAGTTCCGGCTCTTCATGACGACCAAGTTGCCCAACCCTCATTATTCTCCAGAGATCTGCGTCCAGGTGCCTCGGGGGCGGACTCGCTCGTGCGAAGATGTGGGATGGTTCTTTTTTTCGTGCACCAGCGCGGGTGGCGAGCGCAACACAGTTCCGTCGCGCACTTGACTTGTTGTCCCTTGAACCACCTGATTTCTGTGGGCCTACCGGGCCTACCAGCGGCTAGGTGTTGAGCACTGAGTCACTGAGTCACTGAGGTTGGATGAGTTGTGTGGGGAATCCGTAGTACAGTATACTTCCATACAATTACATTTTTGGGGGACATGCTTGCTCCCATCACTATGAGCATACTGCCGCATACTTGTACCATTGGGTCGGGAGTTTCTTGGCACAGCTGGTTGGCCATCAATGCACATTGCATTGGCTGACTGTCATTTTGAACCCTTTGAGCTTTGAGGTGTTTTGAAGAGGTCTCGGATCTTTTGACTCATAAACCCACCAGGACCAGTCTTTGAAACCCTCCACTGTCTCCCCATGGCTGCCCTGCGATTCCGGCCGGCACCAAGGTGACCTTATTGAACTTCATGGTGACGCCGGATGGCTTACAGGATCAGATGTTGGGCATCCTGGTGGCCAAGGCCCGCCAGCGAAAACCAAAAACGCGGACGTTTCGCGGGTGAATCTGGCGGGGCGCCCAACAAAAGGGCGCGCGGGGGCGCGGTGGGGTTGCGTGTGTGCCATTATTTGGGAAGGTTCTGGAGGGTGGATCGGAGGAGACGACCCCACCGCACCAGACAAGGTGCGATCCTTCGGAGGGAAGGTTATTTGATCGGAGGTTGGAGGCTTTGAGATGTTTGGAGGAAGTCGACTTGGCATTGGGGGACCCTGGCGATCGTCCAAAAGCGTTCGTCTTGGGGGCTCGGTGCACTCGAGCGATCGCCAAGACTCACGGAGCCACCGTGGATACATAACGGCCATCAGAGTCAGATGATCGCAGCACTTATTATATAGAATCCCCTGGTAAGGAGATCATGTGCAAATTCCTGAAGCATTGAGTGGAAGAAGGAGAAGGAAAGAGATAAATAAACAAAAACATATTCCAAATTAATATAGAGCAAACGGCTTCTCATTGATGGCAGGTGTAAGAAGACAATTTTGAAAGGCCAAGGGACAATGTTTGAAAGTCATATGGCAAGTTAGCTTGTTGATCACGTGTGAAAGAGCGGCGGGTCGAATTTGTTCCAGTGCTAAGTTAGCTTGAGATTCCCCCGTTTCTGATGATCTTTGGCATATTTCCTTTGAAAGCTTCTTTACTGAGCAATGCTATTCTTGTTACTTTTCGTCGTGCGCCAGGAAGAGCCGGAAGTGGAGAAGAAGAGGCAGAATCTCATCATCGAAAGCGCTCAAAGCAAGGCCCAGCTCAAAGAGATCGAGGACCCCCGCACCGGTCGCATCGATCGAGTCGCCGGTCTTGGCGCATCGTCCCTGAGTGACCCATCCCGACGTGACGGCCATTTCGAGAGAATTCGACACGGGACCGTTTTCCTGTGAGGACAAAATCCTGGAGCTTCTCTCGAACTCCAAGGGCAACATTTTGGATGACGAAGAGTTGATCACCACCTTGGCGAACTCCAAAGTTACCTCCACACGTGACTTGGCCAGTCGGAGTTCAGGCAAAGCGTTTTTTGAAGAGGATTTGCATGAAGTTGGTCAAAGGAACTCGTCGTCATTTTGAGATCCACTGGGCCATCTAAGGGCAAAGTTAGGGGCACATCAGCCCAGACCCGGTGGGAACTGATCTGAAAGCACACAGCTGAAAGATAAACATGTCATGACATGTTCCAAGTGTCACCGGGGAACTTGGGTGTGCAGGGTCCGGTGGCTGAGAGAATGTGCAGCTTACCAACACTCGATCGAATGGTGATGCATGTGTTGCCGCGGCGGCGGCGCGGGGGCCCACCAGGGGAATCATGCATGCCGCACCGCGTCCCGTGACAGTTTCAAGAGTCCAAGAATGTATCAGCCAGGGCCACTTGGCTCCGTGGCCATCCTTTGACTCAATGTGACTCAGAGTTAGTGAAATTCAACGAAGGAACCAGTGAATCTGTGATAGCCAAGCCTCCAGTGTTCCTCGGCCTCGTGCGGAGATGCCCGTTTGGGATGCCCAGCCTCAGCCCTTGGGCCTCGTTCCTCTCGCGCTTCGAGGCATCGAGGAACGAGTGAAGGAGCAGGAGAAGACACAGGCGTTGGTCCAGGAGACGCGCGAGACCTACGTGGCTTGGCGGCACAGCTTGGACACGACAAGCCGGCAACCTACGTGGGTAGCAAGCTGGGCATCTATTCAGAAACCACTGGAAGGGTCTTCCTGGGCTGCTGTTTTTTACGGCATAGTACGGCGAAGATCGGCGAGGTAGCTTTAACAAACGTTTCGGATCGATAAACCTATAAGAGGAACGTCGCCAGTCCTGCCAAGCAAATCCTTTGTCTCTTGGATCGCCTAACTCCAATACTCAGTGCTTCCAAAGACCCTGGGCCCTAGTGCCACACCAACTTGTCACCGGATTCAACTAAAACAATGAGTCATTGAAGCACATGACCCCTTGGTAAAGGAGACTGGTCTTGAAAAGGTTTAATTTTCAGAATAATCAATGACTTTGAATAGAAATTTAATATCAAGTATATACTCAAATAATAATATTATTGAAAACTAGCATAGTTAACCATTCACGACCAGCTGAGAATAGGTATCGGCCCCTTTTCGGGAGCTTCCACCGAAGCTGGAGAGCTTCAGGGGCTCTTGAAGCCGAGAAGAGTGAGATGGGGGCACTCCCAGATCCCCTTCTTCGACCTACGACGAGAAAAGCCACATACCGTGCTTCCGACTGACCGTCTGACTGACCATCTTTGTTCCAGCATGCAATCCGGCAACGAACCTGCTGGTGGGCTCGGTCCCACCCATTTCTCCCACCAACATCACCTCTTCCCTTCGTTGAACACCCAGGTGCCAGTCTCCATCCGCAGCTCGGCGATGTTCTTCGTCATCGCCGACCTCTGCAAGGCGCATCGCTTCCGCATCCCGCGTGTTCGGCCCTGGACGTATCGCCGCGCGAACGAGCGGAGACACCCAAAGAGGTGTCCGGTGTCTATGAGCAAAGAACTCTTAAGATTCAAGACGCCATAGGTTCCCATAACCCGGGCCTGGGTGCTTGTAAAAAGGAGCATTCGCATGCATTCGCTCACCTACACAAAATGACTTTCTGGTGCCATTCCGAAATGGACCATGCGTGGACAATTCACAGTTACCATGCAAAATGTCACAAACTCATTTTGTAAAAACACGTTTTGTTCAGGAGTATGACAATGATGCACAGGGTCGGTATCCATGTTGTAAAGCCAAATTTCCATTTGATAAGAAGTTGTTTTTTTGTTTTCTATTTTTTCCTGTGCATTTATGAGTTGCAAAATCCACATCCCTATGCAGCTTATGGGATATGTGATTCATACAGACATTCCATGAACCATCTGGAAGGGCCCCCGTTGGGATATACATCCAGTGATATTTTGAGACGTGACGTTGTTAGGAGGTCCACATTACATTCTTTCTATAGAACTATAGTAGTGGATCCAGAAGGTGCACGTGAAGTTGGAGTAGAGCCATTTGTAAGTGCAGGGCTTGGAAACAGGCCAACCAGCAGTGGAAGATGTACATGTGCGCCCTCGGTTATGACCACAAGGCTATCTTTGCGTTCTGAATTTTGAGGGATACGTTTTCCAAGACTGGACAATGCAACGACAACAAATCCGGTGTACAAGGGTTCTCCGTCCACACTTAAAAAAACAGCGATGATGACTACCATTTCTGCACTGGTGGATGGTTGGATGGTTGGGGTCCAGACCTACCATGAGCACACACCAAATACATCCAAAAGAGCAATTTTGTGGGCTACTCCCTCACTCCCCTGTTCTGAGGTGGAGCCCATGTACCAGTACAGCTTGGAATGGTTCATTGAGATCTTCCTGCTTGCCATCA